TTTAGGGTTCAAGGGTTCAGGGTTTGGGGGTTTAGGGTTCAGAGTTTTAGGGTGTTAGGGGTTCAGGGAACTGAACATGCAACCCACTTTGGGGGGGGGGCTCATGGGTGGTTAGCACTGGGGTTCGTAGTCGGGGTACTCGTACCCACAGGTACAAGTGGTTCAAAAAACAATCAGCGCTAGGGGTACTTCGTAGCCCTACTTACAACTACACGGGGATTTTTAAGTAACCCGAAAAAAACAGCTACATGTGGGGTAACCCTAAACCGTAGATGCTAAACCCGAAGCCTAAACCTGAAGCAACCCTAAAAGCCCTAGACCGTACATGCTAATTTAGGGTTTAGGGTTTAGGGTTTAGGGTTTAGGGTTTAGGGTTTAGGGTTTTGAGCTCGGCACCTCAAGCCACCCTAAAACCCTTAAGACTCTAAGCCGCAACCTCAAGCAACTCTAAAGCCCTACAGCCCTAAACCCTAAAACCCCTAAAACCCTAAATCCTAAACCCTAAACTCTAAACCCTGAACCCGAAAACCCTAAATCCTAAACCCTAAACCCTAAACCCTAAGCCCTAAGCCCTAAGCCCTAAACCCTACCTACCGGCCCCAGGTCCCTGATTGACAGCAGTAGTGCTGCAGGCCTGGTCATGGTCTAGGGCTTCGGGTTTAGGGTTTAGGGTTTAGGGCTAGCACCCAGGGTGGGCCATTTTTCTCTGCTGTTGTGGGGTTCGGTTCCTTGTAAGCTTATCTTAATGGTATGGGATTCTCTGGGTGGGTGGGTACTTTTCGGGCGCTTGAAAAGCTGCTTACCCAGTGAATGCTTGAACTTTGAGATGCTGAATCCTGAACCCTAGACCCTAAACCCTGGCAACATCCCAGTTGGTACCGGTTGCGTAGTTCGCAGGACTGGTTCGGGTTCAGACTTTAGAGGCTGAGGTTCAGAGTTTCCCAAACCTGGTGGCCCCCAAATAGGGTTTAGGGCTTAGGGTATAGGTTTAGGGTTTAGGGTTTAGGGTTTAGGGTTTAGGGCTTAGGGTTTAGGGCTTAGGGCTTAGGGCTTCGGGGAGCAGAGGTTCCTTGATCTGACCATCTGCTGCTAGCTTGGGAGTGTGTTTTCGACGGAATGCTTCAGGACCCTAAACCCTATCCCTAAGCCCTACACCCTACACCCTACACCCTAAACCCTAAACCCTAAACCCTAAACCCTAAACCCTAAACCCTAAACCCTAAACCCTGAACCCTGAACCCTGAACCCTGAACCCTAAACCCTATCCCTAAACCCTAAGCCTGTTGAACGGTGAAGAGCCACGGGGAGCGAAGCGAGACCGGACGAGAAGCACATCGGGGTTTGAGGTGTTTTACGATGTGGGACTAGGGCGCCAGGATGCTTTGGGATCCAAATGGGTTTAGGCTTCAGGGTTCAGGGTTCAGGGTATTTCGGATGTTTCTGTCGCGCTTTGTGGGCTTGGGGTTGAGGTCTTATTGTCCTTCCCATGTGGTGAGGCGAGAAGGCGTAATTCTTGAGTTTTGTGGCACGCACCCCTGGCATCTCTTCGTGTTGCTGGGAATGGCTGATGTGTACCAGCAAGGCTTTTCCATCCGATGTCCTGAACACGAAAGCCCCCACAAGCCCTACTGATCATGCAATGGTTCCCTGAACACCTGAACCCTAAACCCTTAACCCTTAACCCTGAACCCTTAAACCCTAAACCCTAAACCCTAAACCCTAAACCCTAAACCCTAAACCCTAAACCCTAAACCCTAAACCCTAAACCCTACGCCGACCATGGAGCCTTTGCCGGCACAGGCGCCCCAGCGTTCGTCCGGCGGGACAAGCCGACGCAGCAGGTGGGCAGAAGTCACAGCGACGAGGAGCAGGGCTTAGGGTTTGGGGTTTAGGGTTTAGGGTTTGGGGTTTAGGGCTTAAGGTTTGGGTGTTCAGGTTCATGGTACTCAATAGCGAAGTATGACTGCACTTATAGCCCAATCATAAGCCCCCTAAGTGTAGTTACCTAGGCTAGAATCGGGTGATACGTACAGTTATGATGAGTTTCTAAGTACCATGAACCTCCAAGTAGGGCTGAGGGAATCTACTCCGAATATGGCCCTTATTAACGCAAACCCTAAACCCTAAACCCTATAATACCTTAAGGATCTTTAAAGGGTTTCCGGGGTTTAGGTCATGGGACTTTTCCTTGGACCCGTAAGGTTGTACCCTTTTGGGTTTGGGGACCCTCTGTCAAGATCCTCTAAGGGAATATAAGGGCCATTGAGGGGAACCTCTTAGGGGTACGTCCTTAGGGGTCCGGGTATCATTCGAAAAGGCCGAAACTGAGAGGTGGCGGATTAGGGCTGGCCCATGTTGTTGTTCACAAGGTGCAGAAGTGGGGCTTCTCGGGTATGGGGTTTAGGGTTTAGGGTTTAGGGTTTAGGGTTTAGGGTTTAGGGTTTAGGGTTAGGGTTTAGGGTTTAGGGTTTAGGGCCAGTTGCAAAAGGGTTGAGGGTGAAGCTCGAGCTGGTCTTGTGAACCCTAAAACCAAGGGGGCGCTTTGCGGCGCCAGGGAATAAGGGTTTAGGGTTTAGGGTTTAGGGTGGAGCTTACTTACCGCTCAAAAACCGCAGATGTGTCTCTGTCCAATGGTGATTGATCTGAATTTTTTGGGAACAATACCTTAGCTAAGTGGTGATTTAAGTGTAAGGAACGGTTCGTGAACTAAGTAGTATGGAGTTTCTGGGTAGTGTCAAGGGCTCCATGGCTCCATGTAGCCTAAGTGCCTTAATGGGTACGTAGTCCTGTTTAGGGTTTAGGGTATAAACCCTAAACGCTAACCCTAAACCCGAATGTAGACGACTACCCAGTAGATACTTAGAGTGGGGCAACTGCTTCAACTACTCTCCGGGGCCCGATGCTTTCCCCCCCCCCAAAACAAGGCACCATGTAGGGTTTAGGATTTAGGGTTTAGGGTTTAGGGTTTAGGGTTTAGGGTTTAGGGTTTAGGGCTACTAAGTCTTGGGGTTCTCAGGTTTCGTGGAAGTGCGCCCAGCGGTGAGATCTCGGGGGGTTTGGCTAGGCTTTCCGGGTTCCAGGAGTTCCGGGGTTGAGGGTTCGGGGTTGCTGCGCCTAAACCCTAAACCCTAAACCCTAAACCCTAAACCCTAAACCCTAAACAACTTTTCTCGAAGTCGTTGAAGTGCTTCTACCAAAAAGGACGGCTTGACCCTGGCAGATGCTGTCGAGGAATTTGGCAGCGAGGCCATATACTCTGCTTGGTATTTCTGCGCAGGCCTTCTAGGACCCCAAACTTTAAGGGTTCAGGGCTTCAAGTGCAGACTTAGGGTGTAGCTTGGGATGCTCCCCCTTTATACTAACCGTCCTTAATGGAGACTACAGTACCCCCTATTATCATCCCTATTAAGGACCTATCAGTTAAGGGGGAAACATCCCAAGGTGTAACCCATAACCCGAAACCCTAAACTCTAAACCCTATTAAGGACTGTTGGTACAAGGCCCACAAGCCCCAAATAGGCTCACGGCTAGGCTGAGATCTGCATTCAATTCAAGGTTTTGCCAGAAGACAGGGCGGGGGGTGTAGGGTTTAGGGTTTGGGGTTTAGGGGTTATAGGGTTTAGGGTTTAGGGCTCAGGGTTTAGGGTTTGGGGGGGGGCAGTATCTCCGCATGCAACCTTTGCAAGACTGCGTCCGCTTGCCTGCGCGGTGTCCACGGAACTCTTTGAAACACCCAGCATAGCTGTTTGCATTACATGGGTTCGAGGGCACCTGCGCCTGGATTGATTAGAGTGTAGGGTTTAGGGTTTAGGGTTTAGGGGTTAGGGTTTAGGGTTTAGGGTTTAGGGTTTAGGGTTTAGGGTTTAGGCTTAGACCGCGCAGCAGCGGTTGATGTTGCTTGTTAGCTTTCCCTCCCTCACTCTGAAATCTACTCTCCTGCGTCCAAGCAATCTTCACGGGCCTGGCAACTTGCCAGAGCCTGAACGTGCTGCCTTTTCGGATCGGGTTTAGGGTTTTAAAACCCGACACCCTAAACCCTACACCCTAAACCCTACACCCTGAACCCTACACCCTGAACAGGGCTGGGGTTAAGACCCTGCGATGCGGACTTTCGTTCAGCAATCGGGAGAAGAAAACACCAAAGCCCCTAATCCTAAGCCCCTAAAACTGTATGAACGGGGTCCTGTGAGAAGAAAGCCTAAACCCTAAACCCTAAACCCTAGACCCTAGACCCTAGACCCTAGACCCTAGACCCTAAACCCTAAACCCTAAACCCTAAACCCTAAACCCTAAACCCTAAACCCTAAACCCTAAACCCTAAACCCTAAACCCTAAACCCTAACCTGCCCGCCTGAGCTTGAATTCCGCAGTCCTCGACCATCAACGTGCCCATTCCCAAGAACCCGAAGAACAAGCCCTACCTGGAGCTGCTGGGCTGCAAGAGCAAATGCAGCTTCGGGGTTTGGGGTTTAGGGTTTAGGGCTTAGGGCTTCGCAGTTTAGCGTTTGGGGTGTGGGGGTTGGCGATTTTGGGGCAACTTGCCCCCTTTGGGTTGAAGGTAGTGTATAGTATGGGGATGTCGGGAGGCACCTTAGCTCCGCATGGACACCAAGGCGAAGACCAGAAAACATGGGTGATCTCTCACTGCTCAGACTAGGATGCCCAGTAGTACCCTTGTTCCCTTTTTGGGGGGTTTAGGTTCCCTTATAAACCCCTTTAAGCAAAAAAGGGCACCCTTTTGAAGCCTTGGCTAGCAGAGGGTTGTTAAGGAAAGGGCGTATTTGACCCAAGGATCCCTAGTGCTCCCCACTTCTCCCTGAGGCTCCCTGACTTGGTAGCCCGGTGGCACCCTTTTTGTTTTCCGTGAACACCAACGTGGAGGGCCAGCCCGAGGGGCGTTCTTGATGCCCCCCTGTGGGAGGCGTGGCGCAGGCCCGCCATTGCTGCGTACAGAAATGGAGAGAAGACAGACTGGAGCTAGCCATCACGCCCTTCTGGAAATGGGTCGGATCATGGCCCAGAAGTCCGTGCAGGAGCAGGGCAAGCTGCTGCAACTATGGCTAGATCCCAGCACTTGTTCGCTGGTGCTCCCTTGCAAGGACCTGGATGTCCCACTGGTGTGGACAAGGGCTGCAAGAGAGACTTCTGGAAGAGAGGTTCGACCGCATGAGGTCCCAGTTTCCCACTGCACAGATGAGCCACAGCAAAAGCATGGAGGGCATCCCTACTGGGCTACCAAGCTCCCCACTACTCCTTACCCAGAGGGTCCATTTGCAGTACTATTATGGACTTAGGTACCCAAAAACCATACTAAATAGGGTTTTGGGGTACTTAAAGCCACAATAGTATTACAAATGGACCCTCTGGGTTAAGGCTCCCAAAGCTTCCCTATACGGTTCCCTCGGACCCTAGAAAAAACTGCTCTCCCACCTCGCTCCATTCGCAAAACTCCTCTGAGGTTGAGGGCTTTTAGGGGTATTTAGGGGCTTTAGGGCATGAGGGTTTTAGGGCTTCTAGGGCTTTTAGAGTTTGAGGGTTTTAGGGTTTTGCGGCCTTTAGGGTTTTAGGGTGTTAGAATTTAGGGCAGCATGGCTTTAGGACCTTCGAGTTTTTGGGTATGAGGGTTTTAGGGCTTTAGGGTTTTAGGGCTTTTGGGTTTCAGGGTTGTAGGGTATCAGGGCTTGAGGGTTTCTAGGGCTTAGGGCTTTTGTTTTTTTTTTTGGTTTTAGGGTTTTCGGGTTTTAGGGTCTAGGTCGTTTCAGGGCATTAGGCTCAGGGTTTTTGGGGGTTTAGGGTTCACAGAGCGATGGAGCCCATCACCCTGAACCCAAGACCATGAGACCAAGTCAGCTAAGCAGGCGGCAAAGCATCACAGGAGCTTAGTAATCTGCCAAGAGTAGCACGAGCAATCCCCATATATCAATAGCAACAAACGACCCCCAACATGCCAGCTCTGTTTAACATGCCCCTATGTTTCCCTGAAACTTGCCAGTTTAGGGTTTAGGGTTTAGGGTTTAGGGTTTAGGGTTTAGGGTTTAGGGTCCCTAAACCCCAAAACCCGAAGCAACTCTGAGGGGCGGCGGGGAAGATACCAAGAAGGTGCAGATTGTCGCACGGGCAGCAGCTTGTCAAGCATGGGGTTTAGGGTTTAGGGTTTAGGGTTTAGGGTTGAGGGGGGTCATGGACGCTTTGTGGTGCTTCCTGAACCATGAATGATTAGAGCTTCAATCCCCAAAACAACGCAACTTGCACGATGTCGGACACTGGTGTCGGACCCTACGCCCTAAACCCCAAGCCCTATAAACCCTAGACCCTAAACCCTAGACCATAGACGGGTTTGATCTGAGCTATCGTTTAAGGTTGAGGTTTCAGGTTTTAGGGCCTCAGAGAGTGACAGCACAGGCCCTTGTTGGTCAGATGCCTCGGCCTCAGTATGAGTTTCAGAAAAAGGGTTTAGGGTTTAGGGTCACCCCTTTGCGGGGACCAAATGAACCCTAAAATCGGGGTCATATACCCTATACTACTGTAGTCCCTGAGGTATATGAAACAAGAAACCGTTTTAATATTTTGTTTTCATTTGTCCCTGAGGAGCAGAACCATGAAAACATTAGGCTAGGAGCCAGTAGGCCCATATTCCCTTCATTTAGGTCTTGAAGTCGCTTTGAACCAAAAAGAGCACCTGTTTTTTGCTCCTAGGCGACTCCAGGGTCTAGGGTATGTAAGGGTAGTTTCATAGCATGGTCCCTTACCTTCTTTTAAAGTATGGTATATAAGGGGCATAGAAGGGATCCCCTTTGAAGGGACTATGTAACAACCCTAAACCCTGAACCCGAAGATGACAGAGAAACCTGCGCCTGCAAATCCCAGGATTCCTCGGAGCCACCTGGCATGCCACCTATGATGCGGTCGCGCGTGCGAAGGCGGAGGGCTTACTGTTGGTTACTAAGGGAATGAGGGAATGAGGGGTACCCTATAGAATCTCTTAAAGGCTAAATTTGGGGGAGATGAGGTACCCCATCTAATCCCTTAGAGGGTATATATATATATATATATATAGGGCCCTGTATCCCCCTACACATACCCTTTAAGGGATCATATAGGGTATATGTATATATATATGTATATACGTATATAGGGAGGTGCCCTACAGAATCCCTCAATAAGAAGGGGGATATCGGGTACCCCAAATAATCCCTTAAAGGGTATATGGGGGATATGTGGTACCTCATTCCCCCATTCCCTACTAACCCAACAGTAAGGGTTGGGGGTTGTGGGTTGTAGGGCGTGGGGTTTAGGGTTTAGGGTTTAGGGTTTACCCTAAACCCTAAACCCTATCAACCCTAAGGCAGGGCTTCCTGGGGCGAGAGGCATGGGTTGGCTCAGCCCAGAACGCCTATTGAGGCACTTGCCCTGAACCCTAAACCGTAAACCCTAAACCCCAAAAACCCTAAACCCTAAACCCTAAACCCCCTAAAACCCCCTAGCCCCTAATCCCTAAACCCCCTCAACCCACCCTAACCCCTCACTGCCCAAGATGTGACCTGTGGTTGAGTTCGCAATCCCTACAAACCCTGCACGCCCTCTTCATCTGGCGCAGTGTGTAGGGTTTGGGGTAGGGTCCCATATGATGCAAAAACTGGAGCTCCAAACCTTCGAACCTTGATTTCCCTGATCCAAGCAACTCTCCAAACCTTAGTCCCAAACCCTAAGCCCCAAACCCCAAACTCCAAACCTAAACCCCAAACTACAAACTCCAAACCCTAAACCCTAAACTCTAAACCATAAACCCCTGACAGGGCCTCGCTTGCTTCGAACATGTCCAAGCTCTCCGCGTCCTCCTTCTTCACGCAGGAAAACCAAGCCGTAGGCCCGGGGCTTTACTTCGTGTCGGGGTTTAGGGTTTAGGGCCTCTAGGGTTTAGGGCTTAGGGTTTAGGGTTTAGGAGTTTATGGAGTTTAGAAGTTTAGGGTTTATGGAGTTTAGGGGGCGTGACTCAGGGCTTGGAGCCTTCGAGCTTGTAGGTGTGAGCGTGTTTCGCTGCAAGGATTTGAACTCCACTAGCCCTAAACCCTAAACCCTAACCCTAAACCCTAACCTCTAAACCTGGTCCTCGTGGATGGACTGGCCCCAGATGGTTCCACTGGGACCAATCCCTTCGAATCCCAAGCCTTGAACCCTACTTGGAGGTTCATGGCACTTATAAACCCTAAACCCTAAACCTAGACCCTAAACCCTAAACCCTAAACCCTAAACCCTAAACCCTCAACCCTCAACCCTCAACCCTCAACCCTCAACCCTCAACCCTCAACCCTCAACCCTCAACCCTAAACCCTAAACCCTAAACCCTAAACCCTAAACCCTAAACCCTAACCCTAAACCCTAAACCCCTAGGGTTTAGGGTTTAGGGTTCAGAACCCCACAATCTGAGAGTGCAGACTGCACAGTGCCCCCGGTCTTCCAGGCAGGCTCGGCCAGTTCCTGCGAAATCCGGAGTCCAGTCAAGCTGCGTGGGTCTTCGCCAGCTTATGGAATTACTTCATCGCAGTGCCCCTGGGACACAAAGCCTAAACCCTAAACCCTAAACCCTGAGCCCTAAACCTGAACCCTAAACCCTTGTGGAATTACTTCGTCGCAGTGCCCCTGAGAAACGGGATCATTCGTCAGGCACATGTGAGAGCATTCCATGGGCCGGACTCAGGTAGGGTTTAGGGTTTAAGGTTTAGTGTTTTGGGTTCAGGGTTAGGGTTTAGAGTTTTAGGGTTTAGGGTTTAAGGCAAGTTTAAGGTTTAAGGGCGGAGGGTGCTTTTGCGGGCTTCGGGATGAAGATAGTTCTTCTGGTTGCAGTTCCTGCGTTGTGTATGGGACCACCGTCGGCTGCCATACATCTCCTCAAGATTGTGCCAGACGTCGACCTGTTCTTGCAAAGGGTTGCGCATGCATGAGACTACCGGTGTACCTTAAGCCGTAGACCCTAAAGCCTAAACCCCAAACCCTAAACCCTAAACCCTAAACCCTAAACCCTAAACCCTAAACGGAGCAAACCGACAGCTCCACCGCCCTCGCCCCGCTCCGCTTCCAGTGGACTGCAAATCTGCAAGCTGCTGAACCTACAGACAAAAGCTCCGTTGTATATCTTAAACCCTGAACCCTAAATCCTAGCCCTCAACCCTAAACCCTAAACCCTAAATCCTAGCCCTAAACCCTAGCCCTAAACCCCAAACCCTGAGTAGGGTTTGGGGTCGAGCGGCCCCTGGGCTCCCAAGGACGGTCTTCCTTTCTTTGGGCCAGACCTCGGTGAATCCGCTCCTGAGTGGTTTCTTGGTCGGGCATTTGGGGTTTAGGCTTCACGGTTTAGGGTTTAGGGTTAGGGTTTAGGGGTTTAGGGTTTAGGGTTAGGGTTTAGGGTTTAGGGTTTACGGTTTAGGGTTCAGCGTGGTTTCTTGGTAGGGAATGTGGGCGGTTGAGTCCGGTTGAGGGTTCAGGTTTTAGGGTGTACAGGGTTTGGGGTTCATGGAAGCATTGGCACGGTTCTTTTGTGAGGGGTGTTGGGTACTGTAGGTAGGAGTCCCTAAACCCCAAACCCCAAGCCCCAAACCCCAAACCCCACACCCCAAACCCTAAACCCTAAACCCTCAACCCTAAACCCTTACCCTAAACCCTAAACCCTAAGCCCTAAGCCCTAAAACCCTAAAACCCTGGGGCTATGGAGTTTAGTCTTTTGTTGGCGGGCGGGATTGTCGCGGCCCACAATCACCTTCCAAGGCGTGACACTACTCCACCTCGAGATGGGATGTTCCCCTTTATGCTTGGAGGTTCGTGGTACTTAGTGACCAATGACAACTGTACTTATAACCCAATTTATGAGGCTAGATGCAGAGGCTATAGTTGGGTTATAAGTTCAGTTATCATTAGTTACTCAGTACCATGAATCTCCAAGTACCAACAGTCCTTAATCGCGAGTATAATAGGAAAACCTGAACCAAACCCTAGACCCCAAGAAACCTGAAGTCTACCAAGCCATACTGTAATCCCTATGAGTTAAGGACTGTCAGTACAAGGGGAACATCCCACAGTCCACCCCTGGCTCCTGAGAAACCGCTCTCAGCTCTGCGTGGTGGGTGCCCTTGTTCCTGTGTGTTTAGGGTTTAGGGTCTAGGGTTTAGGGTTCAAGGTTCCCTTACTTAGTAGCTGAACGAGTGCACTTTACACTTTTTGGGATACTCGCACCCCCCTACAGAACTGAACGAGTACACTTTTGTTGGGGCTTCTGAACTCAGCAAGTAAGCTTGCACAGTAACCAACCCCAAAAAGGTGCCCCCACTACAATATGTATGGTTACCGGGTACTTGACTTAGTAACGAATGATAACAACTGCACTGAAAGCCCCAACTATAGCCCTAGACTTAGGGACTTATACATTGGGTTGTAAGTTCAGTTGTAACTAGTTACTACGTGCCATGACCCTCCAAGTACTCCCCAAACCCTAAACCCTAAACACTAAGCGCCACATCCCTGAACCCTAAACCCTAAATCCTAAGAGCAGCTACGAAGTACCAAGTCTCAAAGAGAGCAGACTCAGGTGTGGCTATTGGCATCGCCGACGCCGTGGTGGAGTTCATCTTCCTGCTGGAATGTTCCTGGGGCTTTGGGGGCTTGTAGGTTTTTTTTTCTTTTTTTAATTTTTTCGAGTTGTTTAGTTATTTTTGCTTCTAGGTTTCTAGGTTCTGTTTGGGTTGTTCCCCACCCTCGGTGTGGGGTTCTTAGATTTTAAACTCAACTCTTCTCCTCGCCCGGAACTCTTCTCCTCGCCCGGTCTACTCCTAGACACTCCCTGGAGTGCCCAACCTCAGAGACTTCCTGGAGTGCGCCCAACCCCAGATTCTTCCTGGAGTGCCCACCAAAGTCTCCCTGGAGTGCCCAACCCCAGAGTTTCCCTGGAGTGCCCCGTGCTGGAGTGCCCAACCCAGAAATCCTCGAAGTGCCCAACCCAGCTCCCTGGAGTGCCCAACCGAGACTCCCTGGAGTGCCCAAGAGAGTCTCCCTGGAGTGCCCAGAGACTCCTGGAGTGCCCAACCCCAGAGTCTCCTGGAGTGAGTTTTTTTTTTGGTTTGTTTAGGGGTCTTTTTTTTAGAGTTCACCCCTCAAAGTTTTTAACTTCAGGCCATTAAATGCGACGCTTAGAGTTCCCCGACATACATGGGGCTTGCCGAAAAATAGTGCACCTATTCTAAGGCTCATCGCTTTTGGGTGTTCATTACGGGGACCCCCCTACCCTGATGGGGGCATAGCGACATAGTTGAGTTGACCCTAAACCCTAAACCCTAAACCCTAAACCGAGGCGCTTGTGTGGATTTCAGGCCGAAAGGACTTCGAGTTCATCTTGCTGATCCCTGCAAACCCTAAGCCCTACTTGGAGGTTCATGGTACTAAGAAGTAACCAGTTATAACTGTACTTATAACCCAACTGTAGCCTAGGCAACTAGACTTAGGGGACTTATACTTGGGTTGTGATAAGTACAGTTATGATTAGTTACTAAGTACCATGAACCTGTAAGCCTGTACAGGCTGTGGTTTCAGAGCTTCTTCGCGCCTCGGGTTCAACGTTGGAGGGTCTGGGGTCTGGAGGGATTTGATGTCAGACTCACACCCCAAACCCTGAACCCAAAGCAACAAAAACCCTGAATCCCTAGTCCCTGCAACCAAACCCTACCGCAAACCCTAAACCCGAAACCCCAAACCCTAAACCCGAAACCCCAAACCCCAAACCCTAAACCCTAAACCCCAAACCCTAAACCCCAAACCCCAAACCCTAAACCCTAAACCCCAAACCCTAAACCCTAAACCCTATATCCGCCGAAGCCTCTCAGGTATTGCAGAGATTGCTGTGGAGCCGCACCTCGGGCCTTAGACCTGCCGGATGGCTAGGGTTTAGGGTTTAGGGTTTAGGGTTTAGGGTTTAGGGTTTAGGGGTTATGGGGTTAGGGTCGATGATAGAAGTACCCGCGCGCCCGACACCTGGCCCTCGAAAGCCCCTCATCATAAGGAGCCAGTGGAGGTCGTTTGGTTCCATGTTCACCCCGAGAAGCAAGGGCTTGCTTACTGCGTCGCGTCGAAGAAGGCTCTTCACAAGCCTGCATAGGGGTTTGGGGTTTAGGCTTTACTGGGTTTTGGGATGTTTTGAAAGTTCTCTTCTTCCCTTTTAAAGGGAACCTCTTCATAAATAATTGTTTCAAAGGGCTTTAAAGCACCACTCAGTTTAGGGTTGAAGGCTTAGGGCCCGTTACACTTGACCTCCAGCCTGAGTGTTTCTGTGGGGATCAGGGGTCGGAATAATTACTAGTAGTATTCTCTCATGGTCCCTTTGTAATTATACTATTATAACCCCAACAAAAAGTGCATAGGGGAACCTTAGATAGGGCTTAGGGTTTCTGATGCACGACAGGAGCAATGCCCGTGTTCAACAAAAGGGCAGTATGTTTTGTATAATCACAGGAGGAGTCTAGATGATTACAAACACGATCCTTTTTCAATCCTTTTACAAAGAAGAACGTATGCTACCCGATACGCCCGTCCTGCTTAAAAGCAGGCCCCTACATTATGCGCTGCCCTAAACTCTCAACCCTAAACCCTAAACCCCAAACTCCAAGGTGTGAGCTCAGCGTGCGGCTGGACTTCTCCAAAAACATGTACACGCTCATCGACGTCCTGGCGGTGGTTCCACTGCCGATTCGCATAGCCACAGGCCCGGGTTTCCGAATCAGGGATCCATGTACCTTTTGTAGGGTTCAGGGTTTAGGGTTTAGGGTTTAGGGTTTAGGGTTTAGGGTATCCGAAATTATGGGTGCCTTCTTCGGGGCCTTATCACACGGGAATCCTACCATTAGGAGGTCGATGCTAGGGTTCCCATAACCCTAAACCCTAAACCCCAAACCCTAAACCCTAAACCCTGATATTCGGAAACCACCCAAAGAGGGCTCACAAGCTTTTGCTGAGGGAAGGGGGGGTCTGGAGGACAGTAGGGTTTAGGGTTTAGGGTTTAGGGTTTAGGGTTAGGTTTTCTTTTGGTGTTCGGGGTTCCTAAAACCCAAAGCCGTACAAGCCCTAGCAGCATTTACTTGGAGGTTCATAGTACTTAGTAGCTAATTATCACTGTACTTATAGCCCAATTATAGCCTAGGTAACTAGACTTAGGGGACTCATAACTGGGTTATAAGTACAGTTATAGTTAATTGCTAAGTACCATGAACCTCCAAGTAGGGTCCTAGTAAAGACTCTTTGTCAGGAAGCAGTTGCACTAAACCTTTAAGTGCAGCACCCCATTTTGAAAAGGTTTAGGGCTTTGAGGGTTTAGGGCTTCGAGGCTTTAGGGTTTAGGGTTTAGGTAGGCTACTCCAGGTAGGCTGGTAGAAGGAAGAGGGGTGATAGGGAGTCAGAAAAAAATGGTTTAGGGTTCTCACTCCCAGATGCACGGATGGTTTGGAGGGCTTCGGTTTGAGGGTTGGGGTGTGATGGCTTTGCGCTGCCTAGGGAGCTTGTGGGGGAGGTTTGAGACGCTACCAGATGGGTTCGAAGAGATTCGGTTGGCTCGAGGCCTTGCGTAACCTCTAGCACTACTACTTGCTTAACACTCCCCCAAAAACATATTTTCCTTATAAGGGAAGTATAATCTTGTATTTTCTGGGGTTCTTAAGCAAATAGTAGAGCAGAAAGAGGTTTCAGGGTTCAGAGATGAGTTCTATGCTGGCGGTCAGGGGCCTTTGGGGTGTGAGGTTTTGGGGGGGGGGGGGGGGGGGGGGGGGGGGGCACAAGGTTCAGGGTCGAACCCTCGGCACTTTCTACCGAAACCTTACAATGACCTCCTTTCCCCCCGCTCCCTCCTTGGCCAAGCATTCTCCGTGAGAGCCACATTGTTAATGAAGGAAGACACTAAACCCTAAGCCCTAATTACACCTCATGGGGTCCGCAGCTTGACGCAGCTTGAATGAGGGTTTGGTGTGGGTTTAGGGTTTAGGGTGTAGGATTTAGGGTTTGGGTTGTAGGGTTTAGGGTTCAGGGTCGTGACTCTTAACGTAGGTTCTGCAATGAAAGGGCATTCGGCTTCTGCACACTATACGGATGAAATCCTAAACCCTTAGTTAACCCTAAGCCCTAAACCCTAAACTCCCTAATTACAGGCCTAAGCTCCCTAGAGCCCGAATCCTTAAACTCCCTAAACCCTAAGATTCCTGAAGCAAAAACATCTAAGTCCGAACCCTAAATCTCACACCCTAAACCCCTAAACCTTAAACCCTAAACCACTAAACCCTAACCCCCCCCGCCCCAACCCTAAGCTCCTAAAGCATCCCGGCATAGTTGCCCTGGAGTCTGGCTGGTCTGCTTGGCGGGTGGCAAAGAGACCCAAACCCCAAACCCGAAACCCTAAACTCCCTAAACCCTAAACTCCCTAAACTCCCCAAACCCCAAGCCCTAAACCCCCCAAACCCCCTAATTCCGCAACCCCCCAAACCTTAAACCCTAATTAAACCCTCAACTCCCGAAACCCTAAACCCCCCAAACCTAAGCCCTAAATCCTCAACCCCCTAAACCCTAAACCCTAAACCCTAAACCCTAAACTCAAACCCTAAACCCTAAACCCTAAACCCTAAACCCTAAACCCTAAACCCTAAACCCTAAACCCTAAACCCTAAACCCTAAACCCTAAACCCTAAACCCTAAACCCTAACCCTAAAAGAGCATCCTCGAGGCTTTGAATTACCGGCGGCCGCTGAGTTTGCCTTCGCGCACTACCTCCTAGTTTGTGCCTTTGGCTGTGGTTTAGGGTTCAGGGTTCAGGGTTCAGGGTTTAGGGTTTAGGGTTTAGGGTTTAGGGTTTGGGGTTTTGGGGTTTGGGGTTTGGGGTTTCTGGTTTGGGGTTTCGGTTTTTTGAGGTGGAGCACGAACGTTTCGAATTTCTGGCGGACAGAGATAGAGAGAGAGAGAGAGAGAGGGATAGAAGCAGAGAGAGGCGGAGAGAGGGAGGGAGGTGCAGGGCTTTCCCTACTCAAACCCTTAAACCGAACTCCGCTGTCCGAGCTTAAGCCCTGCAGCCCTAAACCCTAGCCCTAAACCCTAAACCCTAAACCCTAAACCCGCAATCCTCAAACCCATGGTTCCCTAGAAGCACAACACCGCTGCGACCCTGCGACAACCCCTCGAGAGCGAGAGCCCCAAGGTTTGGGGTTTCGGGTTTAGCAATAAAAGGGTTTGGGGGGTTTAGGGTTTAGGGTTTAGGGTTTAGGGTTTAGGGTTTAGGGTTTAGGGTTTAGGGTCAAAGGGCCTTAAACCCTACGAGCCTCAAGCAGTAGGCACAGGTGTGATTCCCTTGTTAGAAGGGTTCTAACAAAATAACTACCACCCTAAGCCCGAAACCCTGAACCCTACACCCTAAGCCCTAAACCCTAAACCCTAAACCCTGCACAGGTGTGGTTCCCATGCTTCGGCTGCTAAAGCTGATCCGCCGGTTCGGCCAGTCCTTTGGGCTGAGAGTTTCGAGGGTTTAGGGTTTAGGGTTTAGAGTTTAGGGGGTTTAGGGTTTAAGGGAGTTTAGGGGACGACTCGCAGGTTGGACTTCTACGCAAGCTCAGTGCTCGTATAGTTTATACATCCGAATTCTGGATTACCTCAGTTTCGCCTCTTCATGCAGCCGGCAGGCTAGCCCGTGCTTTTCAAAAGGGGTTTGGAGAGAAGTGGTACAGGCATTTTGGGGTTTAGGGTGAGTTATTAAGGTAACTCCATAGAAGGGAGCACCCATCTCAGCAGTCCTACGGCGCGCTCCCCATGTCTTCAATCCGCTTACAGTAAACTCCAAAAAGTTGGAACATCCTTGTCCCCATATCCCAGAAGGTGCAGTACAGGGAATCCCACCTCAAGTCAATCCTGAGGCCATGTTCCAACTTTCTGGAGTTTACTGTGTGTTCCCTAAGAAGAGGGGCCTCGTATTTCTGTAGGGCTGAGGCTTCTGTTGGGACTGCTGGGGCTTAGGCAGGTTCAGGGCTCAGGCTTAAGTTCTGTCCAGGCTTGTCGGAAAATAAGAGGAGCATGGGTTTAGGCTTTAGGGTTTAGGGTTTAGGGTCTAGGGGTGGATTGGGTCATGCTGCTGTCTGCAGCGCTTCTTTCAATGCAATGAGCCGATGCAAAGGTATTGAAACCCGAAGCCCTAGAGAGGAAGCAGCATCTTCTTCAATACCCCCCCCCCCCCCCGATTGGGATGTTCGCCCTTATACGAACTGTCCTTAATTGGGATTCTAGTTGGGAGTACCCTATTGAACACTGTTAGTATAAGGGGGAACATCCCAACCCCAAGAGATCTTTGGGGAATTTTGGGGTGGCCGAAGAACCACCAACACTGAGGATTCAGCTCCTAGCGCACGTCTTCCGAACGACAGGCAGGTAGGGTTTAGGGTAGAGTATAGGGTTTTTGGGTAGAGGCACTTTTTAAGATTCGGGTGCAGAGTTGGAGGGGCTGGGAAGATCTTGAAAAAGAGAGAGGGAGAGGAAGAGAGAGAGACAGAGAGAGAGAGAGAGTGGGCGTGTGTATTGGTGCGCTTGATGGGAGTTTGCCGGCGCGATCCCACTTTCTGAAGGTGGTGTTTGTTACAATGCTTGGGGTTTAGGGTTCAGAGTCTACAGGGTTTGGGGGCTTGTCGTGGGGCACTGTCAGAGCGCGGAGTGAGGGTTCATCGAGGGCTCAGTTCTTTTTGCTGTGCTGCTGCTGGGTTTGCATGCAGCCCAGAGAGGTTGGGGGAAGGCACTTTCAGGTTCAGGGTACTTCAATCACACCCCCCAATGTCTAACTGATTCTAGCTGTAATTACTTCGAAAGCCACCTTAAGTCCTCTAAGTAGGTTCTAAGTTCCCATGAACCTCCAAGTACCCTAAACCCTAAACCCTAAACCCAGTATAGGCTGCGGGTACGGAGGGCAACGCGTGGTGTGTCAGGCGATGCCCTCAAGTTTTTGCTCTTCCTGGTCTCGATCATTGTGCTGCTGCGCCTGGGCTGGAGTGTCGAAGAGAGGGTTTAGGGTTTAGGGTTTAGGGTTTAGGGTTTAGGGTGTGGTCGTTGTAGTATCCGGGTTCCCAGAGCCTGCAGCCTAGTAACCCTAAACCATAAACAAAACCAAAGCTCGAGCTCGCTTGGTTCCTGTGAAAGTTGCGGAGGACACCCGAGGGGAGATCTGCTCCGATTTCCTTTATGGATACTTCCTGCAACTTCCCGTAAGCACCGCCCCTTTCGAATAGGGAAATTATTCTAGAGAGCAACCCACGCATCCCCAGGCCCATGGACCCTGACGTACACAGGGTTGTATTGGGCTTAGCCCTAAACCCTAAACCCTAAACCCTAAACCGCGCCCTCGCACTCCTACGCCTTCAAATCCATGATGTTTGATGGCACACACTACAACCCTAAACCCTAAACCCTCCTTTTATCGCAAAGGTTCAGTACCCTGCTCTACATCTTTGAGCCTTCGTCTAACGTCGACTCGATGTTCACAGTCCCCTGGACTCCACAGCAATCCGCTCAAACACTTGGGTTTAGGGTTCAGGGCTTGGGGCTTAGGGCTCAGGGTTTAGGTTTAGGGTTTCGTGTTTAGGGTTTAGGCTTTCTAGTGTTTGGGGTTGAGGGCAGTCAACAAGTCCGGTTGCAAAAGGGTTTAGGGTTTTTAAGGCTTGGGGGTTCTTCGTCAGGAGCTTCTAAACCCTAAACCCTAAAACCCTAAGCCCTAAACCCTTGGGAATGGACAACCCATGACGAATCAGTTTCCATCTCCTTTACAATTGTTTGGCGGTCCAAAGTCCAGGAAGGAGCCGAGAGGATTTTAGGGTTAGGGTTTAGGGTTTAGGGTTTAGGGTTTAGGGTTTAGGGTTTAGGGTTTAGGGTTTAGGGTTTAGGGTTTAGGGTTTATTGTTTAGGGTTTTGGGTTTAGGTGGCCCCTTTCGCATCACAAACCCACTCTTTATTTCCTCTAATCTACGATTTGCTGAAGAAACCTCGAAAAGCACCAAGGATAATAGTCCCTTTTATTGCCCTCATAAGGAAGAAGACTCTTCATGTTTTTTTTTTTTTTTTTTCGGAGGGGGCTCTTAAGCAAAGCAGTACATGCCCCAAAGCCTGAAGCCCCCAAACCACCCAGGCCACCGAGGGGGTGTCAAATGCTCTGTTTGAGTGGGTCTAGCCCTAAACCCCAAACCCTAAACCCTAAACCCTAAACCCTAAACCCTAAACCCTGTGGGAAGGAAGCCCTTTTAATTTCTCTTCTTTCCTTGGAAGGGAACCCCAGTCATGAACAGTTTATGTTTCATAGGGTTTCAAGCGCACTTCTTTCCTTCTACGGGAAACTGTTCACGAATAGCTTTCAAAGGGTTGTTAAGGCACAACTCGCACAAAACTCAGCCGTTTCTTGGACAAGGCGTTTCCGGAGATACCCCAAAAGCACGGCATGGAAGGGTTTAGGGTTTAGGGTTTAGGGTTTAGGGTTTACGGTTTACGGTTTAGGGTTTAGAGTTTAGGGTTTAAGGTGCAGGGTTGAGCCCACACCCTGGCAAATGCGAGAAGAAAATTCTAGCCCCCTTAGGAATTATTTTTGTTTTTTGGTTATATAACACCCAAGGGAGTAGTTAGACATGACTATTTTCACAAAGGTTCTAAGGGTGGCATAGATAAGGGCCCGAAGCCCCAAAGCAATGATACGGCAAAGTGGTACCGTGAACAGGCTGAAGGTTTCGTGGTTCAGGAAACTTCGTAAACCCTAAATGCTAAACCCTATATAAACCTGTCAGCTAGGCGGGTGGCAAAAAAAACCTAAACCCTAAACCCGAAACACACTTGAGAGTTACAAGTTCAAAAACAACTGTGAGACCGAGCTTTTCGGGGTAACGCAGAAGCCGCGAACAGGCGATGTGGGTCAGCACTGTGACCGTGACGACCGTTGGCTTTGGCGACATCACGCCCGTGACGTCGGAAGGGAAAATGCCCTCTTGTCTTGACAGGGTTGAGGGCTTGGGGCGTAGGGTTTAGGGTTTAGGGCGCCCTCTTGTCTTAACAGCAATGCGGTCTTCGTAAGGGATTTGATGGAGCGCCTGTCGGAAGTTCTTACATCAGGGTTTCTCAAGGTTGCTTAGTTCACTTAGCTTCCTGAACAGCAAGACAGTTGGGAAGGTGTTTTGAGCATATAGGATTCGGGGTAGCTGCTAGGTAGGGCTTTAAGAAACACAAGGAACTCAGAGTTGAGTTGTGCAACCAGCCCACACCCTGAACACCGCAGCACAAGCGATTCACTCACTCGCAAGCCGGGAGCCCCAACCACCCTAAAGCCCTAAAGCCCTAAAGCCCTAAAGCCCCAAACCCTAAACCCTAAACCCTAAACCCTAAACCCTAAACCCTAAACCCTAAAACCCTAAAGCCCTTAACCCTAAACCAGAACCCTAACAACTCAGCCCCCAAACCCCAGCAGAGTTTTTAGAAGCACAGGGAGAACTTGGGCCAAATGCAGGCAAGCACGCGAAGCCCCCAAAGCCTCTGATAGAAGCCCTGAGTACTAACCCTTGGACCGATCTCATAAAGACTCGTATAGCCTAAGCCCTCAGGTTTAGGGGTTTAATTGGGGGTTTAGGGTTTAGGGTTACCCTAAACCCCAAACCCTTCAACCCTAAACCCCAAACCCTCAACCCAGTTTGGGCAACACACGTCCGAGGTTGATGGGCGTCCTTTGCTTCTTTAGCTCACTGTTCATGGCGATGCCTATCTCGGTCTTGGGCAATGCACCCCGACAGGGATTCAGGAATCAGGATCTGGGCTTGCTAGGGCTTAGGGCTTAGGGCGAAGGGTTTAGGGCTTTGGGCTTAGGGCTTAGGGTTTAGGGCTTAGGGCGGGCTTCGTGCTTCAGGTTAGGGTTTAGGGTTTAGGGTTTAGGGCGCGTTGTCCAGGAGGCTTGCTGGGGCGGAGAGTTGCAGGATTTAGGCTTGGGGGAACCGGCCTTTTCATGTTTGGTTCTTTGTTGGGTGCTTTTCTTGAATTACAGCAACAGTCCCATGTGTAAATATGTTTGTTCCATACATACATTTTATGGGTATATGTATACGAATACATACATATATATATACATACACATACTTACAGAGCGGGCCAATGTGATGATAAATGGGCCACTGCCGTTCTGAACTATCTATAACTCTGGACACGCTCTTTTGCGTAACAACCCGAAACCCGAAAGCCGAAGCCCTAAACAGCATGCGACACTGCTGTTGGGTGGAGGGTTTGCCTCAATTTCAGGCTTCCGGGTTTTGAGGGCCAGATGTGTTCACTAGGTTTTAAGGTTTAGGGTTTAGGGCTGCCCAGCATCCAGATCCAGTGCAGATTCGGGTCCTCAAGGCCCGAAGCTGAGGCACAGGGAAAGTGTCCCTGGATCAATCCTCATACCTCCTTATGCGTATACCCATATAACCATTAGTACCCCCTCCTACAGAAGCAGGATTGACAGGTGGGGTTACTTGGGTTACTTGGGTTACTTGGATTTAGTGTTTAGGGTTTAGGGTTTAGGGTTTAGGGTTACTTTTCTCAGGGAGCTGTCTTTATAGGGCTTGTGCAGCCTCGCGAGGCGATGAGCCACGCCTGGACGGACCGTAACCGGATCTTGCTCATGGCACGCACCCGACAGAGGCTCTACCCGAGCCAGGGTTCGTTTAGGGTTTAGGGTTTCGGGTTTAGGGTTTAGAGGGTTTAGACGGTTTAGACGGTTTAGAGGGTTTAGAGGGTTTAGAGGGTTTTTAGGGTTTTTTAGGGTTTTTAGGGGTTTTCGGGTTTGTAGGGTTTAGGGTTAAGGGCTTAGGGAGCCTTGCTGGAAAGAAAAAGATGCTGAGCCATCCCAGCGCATCATGAGGAACCATCCTGCAGCTAAAGCTAAGAGGTATGACGTTGCAGGCCTCGGACAATGCGTTTGTATAGGGTTTAGGGTTTAGGGTTTAGGGTTTAGGGTTTAGGGTTTAGGGCGCAGCACCAGATACTTCCGCCGAAGCCTGAACACGAAGTTGATGAGCCCAGCGCACGCTGCTCAAGCCTCGGTTGCTTCGGGAGTATGTGGCATGCGGCCAGAAGACGCCCCCACGCCGCGATGCTGCATACAGGCTCGCACCAGCGCACTATGCGCCTGCAGGCGAGACGCATCGTGGGAGGCTGCCTTCGATATGTTGCTTGGTAGCCCAGTGGTACCTTTACCCTTTTTTGGGGTTCTGGAACCCTAACCCCGAAGCCCTAAATAATCCAACCCAAAAAAAGGGGCGCCCTTATCATGAGATGGTTACTGTTAGCTGCCAAGGTTGCATGCCATCTCCACCGATGGCTTGCGATGCAACCTGATTCCCATGAATGCGGGCATCAGCGTCTGCGAGAGAAGCGGTCGCTGGCACCTGGCGGCTCAACTCCACCAGCACCTTGGTGACGAAGTGAACCCCAAAAGGGTTTGTGGTTCATATACCTTCATGGGAATTACAGTAGTATAGGGTTACATGACCCCAAGTGTAGGGTACATTTTGTGCCCGAGGTACCTCCGCGACCAGCTGCTGGAGTCCGATGTGATTACTGGAAATACGGCGATCAGCGCCTGCGAGAAGGCAAATCTGTGGAAGCCAGGGCTCAGCCTGCTGGCATCGATGCAGCAGCAGGGTGTCGAGACCGATTCGATTACGTTCAATGGGGCCATGGCTGCCTGCGAGAAGGGAGAGCAGTGGGAGGAAGCGCTGCAGCTTTTCAAGGACTTGTGCGTGGGGCGAGGTCCAAGCGTAGTCTCCTACGGCTCCGCAGTGAGTGCCTGCGGCAGAGGCGGAGACTGGCGACGAGGCTTCAGCATGTTGTCAGAACTCGGAAAAAGTCGGTTGGAGGCTACGACTGCAGTTTTTGGTGCGGCCATTACACAGTGTGAACATGATGCGCAGTGGCCCGCCACCCTCGCTCTGCTGGGAGAGCTGCTGCACCACCAGCTGGAGGTGAATATTGCCATTTATGGCGCGGCCATCAGTGTCATGGAGAGAAGCTGGAAGTGGCAATGGGCCGTCGCGTTGCTGACGGACATGGAGCTCGCTCGCGTGCAGGCCAATGTCATCCCATACAATGCCGCCATAAGCGCCTTGAGCCACGCCAGCCGCTGGCAGCTGGCAGTGGACTATCTGGCAGTTGTCACTGAGAGCAGCGTTGAGATCAACGTGGTGACTCTGGCAGCTGTGGCCACAGCCTGTGGCAGAGCTGGCATCTGGCAGCAGGCGTTAGGCTTGCTGCATGTAGCTCAGGAAAAGAGCTTGTCCAACATAGTTTCGTATGGAGCTGCAATCAGTGCCTGCGAACAAAACGAGGAGTGGCAACAGGCTTTGGGCCTGCTTTCCTCCGCTCTTGCGGAGAACCTGCAGGCGAACGCTGTGATTTTCAGTGCCGCGATGAGCGCCTGCGCAAAAGCATCGATGTGGCGGCAGGCCTTGGCGCTCTACCTGCGCGCACGCCACGCGGGTGTAGAGAGGGACACGGTCTTGGCCAGCTCCGCCACTTAGTAGCTGAGTGAGTATACACTTTACACTTCTTGGGGGTACTATCATCCCCTTATAGAACTGAAAGTGTACACTTTTTTGGGGGCTTATGAAACTCAGCTACTATATCCCCTAGAGAACTGAAAGTGTACACTTTTTTGGGGGGCTTATGAAACTCAGCAACTAAGGCCATAAGTGCGGCAGGTGAAGGGAAGAGCTGGCTCGGCGCCGCGCAACTCCTCACAGAGATGTATGTGGCAGAGCAAGCGCCGAACCTGGTGGCGTGCAACTCTGCGATGGCCGTTTCTAGGATGCCCAGTAGCACCCTTATCCCTGTTTTTTTTTTTTTTTTGGGGGGGGGGGGGGGCGGGGGGGGGGGGGGGGGGGGGGCTTAGGTTCCCTTAAAATTAAAACCCCTTTAAGCAAGAACGGGGCAGCCCTCTTTAATCCTAGGGAACTGGGCAACCTAGGTTTTCAGAGATGCAGGGACATGGCGCAAGGTGCTTCACCTCTTTCAAGACATGGAGAGGGGGGGAATGGAGGTTGACGCCGTGGCTTGTGGCGTCGCACTGGACGCTTGCGAGAAGGCCAGCGAAAGTCAGCAGGCTTCCGCATTGTTAACGAGCCTGGATTCTGACCAGCTTTGTCGACTCTTGGTACGTAGCCCAGTGGTACCCTTTTCCCATTTTTTGGTTCAAAGCTCCCTCATAAATTCACCAACCGACAAAGGGTGCCCTTGTTAAAACAGTTGCAAATGGGAGTAGGGCCTTTTTCCCTTTTTTTGGGGTTGGGGTTCCCTTAGAATCCCCTTGGGTACCCCGTTATTCCTAAGTTACTCCCGGGTCTAGTTTTTGGGCTACCAAGGATTGCAAGAGTTCTGGGAGACTCGCAGGTTCTCTGGAGACTCCGATGGGTGAGAGCTTTGGGAGCCAGGAACCTCAGAAAAGGCCCTAAACACGAATTTCCGAAACCCTAAACCCTAAATCTAAGAGCCTCCGGCTCAAGCCGCCGACCCCGCTGGAGCATAGTTGAGACCCGCTCGCATGGAAGATCATCCCCGGCAGAGTTCTGTGAATCGTTTGGGGGGGGGTAGGGGGTAGCACCAGGACAAGCTCAAGCCAAAAAGACAGGTGGGTGGGGGTGGGGGGGGGAGGGGGGGGGGGGAGGGGGCGTGGGGGTAGGGGGTGGGGGGGTGGGGTGGGGGGGGGGGTGGGGTTGGGGGGGGGGGGGGGTTGGGGGGGGGGGGGTTGGGGGGCGGGGGGGGTTGGGGGGGGGGTGGGGGGGGGGTGGGGGTGGGGGGGGGTGTGGGGGGGGGGGGGGCGGGTGGGGGGTGGCGGAAAACGCTGATTTTGCTGAGGGCGCCCTACCCCCCCGTGCTGAACACCCTGTTTACGCTGTGCGGGTGGCGCGGTCCTCACGAAAAAATTGTGCACCGACCCCCCCCCCCCCCCCCCCCCCCCCCCCCCCCCCCCCCGCGTTTTGGGGGGGTAAGGAGGGAAAGAGGGAGGTTTCACCTCCTTTTCCCATCCAACACGCCGCCAGGGTCGGCGGACCCTAAACCCTAAACCCTAAACCCTAAACCCTAAACCCTAAACCCTAACCCAGGCTTTTTGAAGCTCCCGAGTTGAAAAGAACGATCTCCTTTCCAAGTGCTGCTTGCATCGAATCCCAAAGTTTACCAGCTATTTTGAGATGTTCCCCCTTATACTAACAGTCCTTAAATTGGGATTATCGTTTCTTTTCTCCCTCTTCAGGATCTAAGGGGGAACATCCCTTCCTAAACCCTAAACCCTAAACCCCAAACCCCAAACCCTAAACCCTAAACCCTAAACCCTAAACCCTAAACTGTTGCTAAAGCTGCCTTAAGAGCCACCACGACTCAGTCTCGCCTCGTGTTGCTCCGCCGGGACCCATTGGCAGATATTGGGATGCTCCCCCTTATACAAACAGTGCCTAATGGGTTTATTCATTACAATAGGGATTGGGTTTAGCGTTTGGGGTTTAGGGTTTAGGGTTTTTACAATAGGGGTACTTCCCGGATACCTCCCCTGGACCAGTTCTTTTCCTTGTTGTGGGGGCTGATGAGGGTTTAGGTTTTAGGGTTTGGGGTTTAGGGTTCTTGTGTCTGGGAGTTTGCTACCTGAGCGCACACGGTGTCCGGTGTGGTAGGAATGTTTGGGTTTGAGCCTCGAGTCGTCTCGGAGTACTGTTCCGTGCGACCGTCTCGAACACCCACCCTGGATCCTAAAACAGGAGTCCTTCCAACGGGGTTCGCCCAAAGAGGACCCTGAGCCCTGTAGGCCCCCAACCCCTAAGCCCTTATAAACCCTAAACCCTAAACCCCCCAAAAAATGGATGCTAAAAGTCGATGGAAGCCCATGACAAGCCACCCAAAACCCTAACCAACCCTATGTAAAACCCTCAGGGTTTAGGGTTGATAGGGCTTAGGGTTTAGGGTTTTGGAGTCTTCGGGGTTTAGAGTCCGGACCGCGGTTCAAGAGGACCTATATTCCTAAACATACGTGGGCGTACCCAGGTGCCAGAGTAGGCCCTTATCCCCCTAAACCCTAGACCCTAAACCCTAAACCCTAAACCCTAAACCCTAAAACCCTAAACCCTAAATTCAACCTTAGAGGCCCTGGTAGCCCTCAGATGGCCTGTCGAGTCGAAGCAGCGCCGGGCTGCAGCACCCTAAACCCTAAACCCTAGTAGCCCTAAACCCTAGTAGCCCTAAACCCTAAACCCTAGTAGCCCTAAACCCTAAACCCTAGTAGCCCTAAACCCTAAACCCTAGTAGCCCTAAACCCTAGTAGCCCTAAACCCTAAACCCTAGTAGCCCTAAACCCTATGAGTCGAAGCAGCGCCAGGCTGAAGCGCCACGGCTTCGTTGCCGGTGACTTGCCCAGACTCTTCCGTCAGTACGACGCCTGGTGGCAGTTGGGGTTTAGGGTTTGGGGTTTGGGGTTTAGGGCTTGGGGTTTGGGGTTTAGGGTTTAGGGTTTAGGGTTTAGGGCCTTTTCTGAGGTTCCTTGGGGGGAGTTTGCAGGGCAGCAGAATCCTTCCATCACCGGTCCGAGTTTCGGATTTCAGTTTGTACGTCGAAGGCCGTAGGGTTTAGAGTTGCAAGCCATAAGGGGTGTAGGGTTTAGGGTGGGCATTTTTGGCAGCTCGGGGAGGTTTCTCTGGAGGCTTTCTTTACTGAAAGCCCTCAACCACCGAAGCAAACAAACAAAGAAGCGAAGCCCTAAACACCCCAAACCCCTTAAACCCTAAACCCTAAACCCTAAACCCTAAACCCCCTAAACCCCCTAAACTTGTGGTTGCTGGCCTTTGCATCGTGACGGCCCTGAAAGCATTTGGGCCTGAGGGGGTTTAGGGTTTCGGGTTTAGGGTTTAGGGTTTAGGGTTTCGGGTTAGAATCTAGGGAGTTCAAAGATCGGCCCATCCAACATTGCCCACCATCCGTTTCAAAAAAGTCACCGAGGGTTTAGGGTTTAGGGTTTAGGGTTTGGGGTTTGGGGTTTAGGGTTTAGGAACCCACCGACCATGGTATAGTGTCCTCTGAAGTAGTCCCCGCAGTGTTCGTCGCGTTTTCGGCGGGGGCAATGAAGTTTAGGGTTTAGGGTTTAGGGTTTAGGGTTTAGGGTTTAGGGTTTAGGGTTTAGGGTTTAGGGTTTAGGGTTCACCCTAAACAAAAACACCGAAACCTCTCTCAGCCCCTAAAATCTCGGGATGTGACCTCGTTTAGACTCCAAGTAGAATCGAATCTCCTTAAAGGGACCCCCCCACAAAAGGGTACCCTTATGGTCAGAAAACCCTAAACCCTAAACCCTAAACCCTAAACCCTAAACCCTAAACCCTAAACCCTAAACCCTAAACCCTAAACCCTAAACCCTAAACCCTATAAACCCTAAAGCCTAAACACTGCCAGGATGGAAACGAGACCGGAGACCTGAGCATGGACGAGTTTTGCGACATGATCGTCAAGATGAAGGCCAAGAGGTTTTGGGTATTTCGGGTTCAGGGTTTAGGGTTTTAGGGTTTAGGGTTTAGGGTGAGGGTTTAGGGTTTAGGGTTTTGGGTTTTGGGTATTTCGGGTTTCCCCCCCCCTGCCCCCCGCCCCCCGCCCTTCTTCAGGGTTTAGGGTTTAGGATTGATTTCCCTCCAAACAGGTTCCGGAAACAAAAACAAGGATTGCCTTCTTGTTTCTGGTTTAAACGAGTTTGTGTTTAAGATTCCTTTTGTTTGTTGAGTACGCTAGTCCAATCACAGGGTCTGTGCTACAGTTGGCTGAAAGCCCAAATGCTTAACATTATTATGACTATCATCCTACTGCCATCCGTATCTAAGTGTAGTAGTCCAATGCCCGTTCTATACACTAAGCCTCCCGAAGACCATAAGCCCAAAACCCCCTAAACCCTAAACTGCCCTAAACCCTAAACCCTATACCCTAAACCCTAAACCCTAAACCCTAAACCCTAAACCCTAGACCCTAACATGCTTGAGCTCCGCAACTAGCCGGCCCACGTTGAAAGAGAAGAGGCCGATGCAGCAGGCCACATGAGTGTGCCACGCATATGCACTTCTTACTCAGCCAATAGTTGAACTATAGACTTTTTGGGTTTCTTGATGTAGCCAATAGTTGAACTTGAGACTTTTTGGGTTTCTTGATTTAGTAGGAATATTAAAGTTCTTACTCAGCCAATAGTTGAACTTTAGACTTTTTGGGTTTCTTGATTTAGTAGGAATATTAAAGTTTAACCTTTTCCTCCCCCCTTGGTTATTGGAGAAGTAAGACTTAGTGTCAACCCCAACAATTGCCAGCATGCCCATTCAACTAGTGTGAGTCGACAGATCTGAAACGCAGTAGACGCAGAAGCGATATCGTCCAAATATGCCTGACGCCCTGCAAACTGTTTTTTTTCGTTCCGTGAGGCGGGAGGCAAGCCAAAAATGAAACCGGAACACACAGTCCGTATTCTCAATAGGCGTCGAATTTGACTTCTGTCCTAACTCCCAACACCCGAAACCCGAAACCCTGCGCTTGGCCAACAAAAATGCCCACACCCCAGTGACCCGAGGGTGTTTAGGGTTTAGGGTTTAGGGTTTAGGGTTTAGGGTTTAGGGTTTAGGGTTTAGGGTTTAGGGTTTAGGGTTTAGGGTTTAGGGTTTGGCCCTCGGCTAATACAGCCAGGGGCTCCGATCTGGCTAGTCCCCTAAGTCCAGTGGCAAAAGGGTTTAGAGTTTAGGGTTTAGGGTTTAGAGTTTAGGGTTCGTGAACCCCAAACCCAGGTCGGCATGGGGCCGAGGGAAGCGGAGGAGCTGCGCGGTCGTGGATTTAGAGGTTTAAGGGTTTAGGGTTTAGGGTTTGGGGTTTAGGGTTTAGGGTTTAGGGTTTAGAGGTTTAAGGGTTTAGAGGTTTAAGGGTTTAGGGGTTGGGGTTTAGGGTTTAGGGTTAGGGTTTAGGGTTTGGGTTTGGGGTTAGGGACTGGGAGGTTTAGGAATTTAGAGGGTTAGAGTTTAGAGGTTGATCGAAACTACAGATCCGCAGTTTACGGTTTCAGGTTCAGTTCCAGGGCTTAGGGTTTCAATTTTTTCTGGCAGGGTTCAAGGTTCTGGGTTTACTGGCTTGTGCGGAAAAAGCGAACGAGGATTCGGAGGCGGCTGTAGCAAGTAACAGAGGCTTTGTTATGCCATGACATGGTGTTCTCCTCCGCCTCCGTGTCCGAGAGCAGACGATAGCAGTCGATCAAGTAACCCTAAACCCTGAACCCCAAACCCTAAACCCTAAACCCTAAACCCTAAACCCTAAACCCTACACCCTACACCCTACACCCTAAACCCCAAACCCTAAACCCTAAACCCTAAACCCTAAACTAAGCCCTAGACCCCAAGCCTTGCGACAGGGTTTAGATGC